CAGTCCCTTCACCCACCTTGCTTTTTTAGCTCCGCCTCCAGCTCGCTGTTGTACATCACGCCATCTTTGAGCGTTACGAAGCAGTAGAGGCTCTCTCCTTTGACCGGATGAGGTCTGCCCACCACGGCGGCCTCGGCGACGGCCTCGTGCTCCACCAGAGACGACTCCACCTCAGCTGTGCTCAACAGGTGACCTGGAGGGCAGACGGGTCACCGTTACACCCTCGGGTGTCAGACGCGAGCGAAGACGAGCGCATAAAACACGCAGGAACGCGCCGAGACGTAAAACAGCTCAGAACAGACGAGAAGGTGCAAAATAAAATCGATTAAACCAAGTTTTTAAAAATGATCCTTTAATAAAAGAAACTTAAAATCAAATAAGAATTTGTTTTGTTTACAGATCAAAATCCCCGCGGCAACACACGGAGAGAAACAGCGCCCTCTGCTGCTCAGACAGATGTTTAACAGCTGGGTCGCGTCTTACCTGAGACGTTCAACATGTCGTCTATCCTTCCTGTGACCCAGAAGTACCCGTCCTTGTCTCTACGGCAACCTGCGAGAAAATGAAGGGGCGGGATTAAAACGTTTAGTGCAGCCGAGACGCCGAGTCGTGTTTCAGATCCACAGCAGCTGTGAAAGCCACACAGACCTGTGGCCACGCCCCTTTAGAAACACCTGGTTAAAGGATTCTGAGCTAATAATAAATATTACAGGTTAAACTTTCAAACGGTCGCTGCAGAGGCTTCAGTCCGACGCAAACACGAGCGAACACGTGAAAAGTTTGTGTCGATGAGTTTGTTTCTTTGACGCTTGCAGAGTCGAACGTGACGCGCTGCTCACCGTCTCCTGTGACGTAGTATCCTGGAAACTTCTTGAAGTAGGTGCTTTCAAACCTCTCGTGGTTTCCGTAAACGGTGCGCATCACGCCGGGCCACGGCTGCTTGAACACCTGTGTGAGAGGGCGGAGACAAACGGCAGGTGTGACGCGCTCGCAGGAAGGACGGAGACAAATAAAGGCTCATGTACTCAAGGCTGACCAGGTATCCTTCGCTGGGCCCCTCCAGCTCCTCCCCAGACTCGTTCAGGATGGCCGGCACCACGCCGAAGAACGGGAGCGTCTGTGGGGACACGCGGGGGAGGGG